TCGGATCGATCACCGTGGCGTTAAATCCGGTATTCCACCAGGAGGTATACCGTCGATAACAGTAGCCATTTTTCGCGGAAAATTCGTCGTGTCAAACGGGTGGAACGCTAGCCGCAGCGCAACGTTCTCGAATTAATAAATAAATTTCAGCTGAATTATTAAACCGGATCTCATCGGTGCATTATTTATACGGTTTACCCTTGTCAGTTGTCGCCGATGCTGTCCACGAAGCGGACTGAAATATGGGCAAGCAGCTGAAAATGGAGTCGACGGATATTCAGCGTGAAACTTTTCCGGAGCGTTTTCATAATGCATGATTTACTCACGTCGGCCCGCACGCTTCGATTGCGAGAACGGGATGCGGCTGAAAAATGTAATACGCGTAAACACTCGAGCCCCACGAAATGTCGGTGATGCGTATTTTCACCTGTGACCCCGTCGAACCGAGGAAAAACCTGCGATATGGGTCAAACTCCGGTGAATTCGTGCACAGCAACATCGTACAAATGCTTCTCGTTTAAGGGGGGGAGCCTGGTGTAAACGGGCTAAAAATGAATGAATATTTGAGAATTTCTTGCGAAGAAGTTATTAAATCAACCTCTTTGAAACTTTAAGAATACTTTATTGTACAATTAAACTGTGTACAAAAATTTTTATTTTTACGACAAATCCATAAATATTATAGTTATAAGGACTTATGTGCAGTCCGTGAGCGAAAAGAGTATGTAACTAAAAAAATATTCAACCAACTGACCCGACGTTGCATGTACACCTTCTTCACGGTATGAACCTAAATTGATAATTTTATTGTTTCTCTAAATCATATTTTTTAGCAATTTCTACTTCAAAAGAGTTGCCTGTTTTTCAAAAAAATGTCACCATTTGTTTAATTTTGGTGTTGGCAGGTGTTGCTTTCGAAATGAACTTGCATGATCAGTTTTCGACGAGAAGCGAACAGTAGCTGGCGTTTACGAAGACGAAGGTGAGTTCAGTTTTGGGGGAAGTTTTGGGAAAATTGCCGCATTAAATATACGTTACTGTGAAAACGATCCAAGGATCAACCGAACACGGAGGATCCGTGCGAAACGATGGTCAACAAAAGGCAAAGCACGCGTCCAGCCATTGATCCGAGGTGACGAGGGTGGGTCGTAAATCTGCCGGGTAAAAACAATGGGGCTGTCGATAATCGTTCGGTGTAAATCTGTTTCAAGGTACTAGGACTCGCAACCGGTCCGGACGTCGATCGAACGAAGGTTCGACGAACGCATGGTGCCCGTGAACGAGCGGTTTCCGGGTACCGTCTCGATCTCCGAGTAAATTTCGGTAGGTGTGGCAATGGAGCATAATGCGAGTATTAAACTAGCATAGACAGACACAGGGAGGCTGTAGGAAAAGGGGTAAGAGAGCGGTTTGCAAGGATAGGTAGGTAAGTCGGGGCTTAGCCCGGTGACACAGTGAGCGGAACCAAGCCATGAAGCTTACGGCCGGCTCCGAGTTGTTATAATGGGATCCGGCTAAACGCAAGCCGATTTTAACTCTTCGCCGCAGCACTCGGCCAAGTTCAAGGCCATTGTCTTCGCCGCGATGAAAGTGAACGGTCGACACTTGCAAACCCGTCTAAAATGTCGCCAGGATATCTCGCCAAGGATCGAGCCAGCTTGGTACCAAAAGAATCTTCGAACGTTTCTTCCTCCGTGTTCGACCTGAGCCATTGCCACCCCTCTCCACGATCGTCCGTGTTGTCGTCTGTAGTTACCCTTTTTTCCCTCTCGAAGGGAACGCCTTAATTAAGCGCAGAAGCGAAAACAGAATACCCTCGTCCTCGTTGCTAGGCATAATTTACCTTCTACCGCGATGTTCACGCCTCGAGTCTAATCTGAATAGCACCATTTGAATTTTTTATAGGTACGTATCGAAAGGACCAACAACTTATGGCTCACTCGCGTAAAGTTTACCGACGTTTCTGTTTCTACAAACGCTCAGTCCTGGTTTGTCCTTTTATCCTGTTTTGTAAAATAAAACGGAGAAATCGGTTGGACGATGAAAATATTATATCGAGACCATTATTCGCGGTTAACATTCGGACTACGATCCAGCCTGGACGTCCAACCGTTCGATAAGCGGCTCAACGAACTCGCGTTGAATTCGAATCGAGTGTACAGGGTAATTCAGTCGGTGTAGCCTCTCTTCTCGACGGACCCGGGATCCTCCTTTAAAGAGAAAGTCGCGAAGGATTTGCGCTGTGATTATGCGAAAGGGTCATCAAAGGGCTCGGGGTACCCCGCTTAGGTTCCCCGGCCGATTTGTTATAGCCCGTTAATTTGATGAGTTGGAAAGGATGCCGGATTACGCCGTCAAAAGGTAGACAGGTACCCCGATCTGTCCAATTAACCGGGCGCAGCCTGGCCCGGTGCTGCTTTCGGTAGCTCGGGTTTCTTTGTCCCTAAAGTTTAGGCCATTTAGAGATACGCCACTCCCGCCACCCTTCTCTATTATCGACCTATATAGTCCTACTTGTTCCCTGTACGGCACGCATGCGAGTCCCGGTGCACCTGTGATCTTTTAATGGACCGTTTCTGACGGGGACTTTGCGCCACGCGAGCCTCTCGATCGTGATACCCATCTAGCGACCTCATCCCCCTCGTGTGTGTACGCCCGCAGAGTTTTGCGAGGTCACGTCAAAGGGAACGCGTTACGATAAGAAATGGCAGTACAGCGAGGCTCCTCGATCTATCCGAGTACTCGTAAGCGTACCAATTACGTCCTGCTAAATGAGCTTACGGTCGGTTGCTGCCATCGAGATGGGCTTTAAGGTAGTTAGACGATCAAGGGACGAATATGACATTTCGAGGGTGAACGCGATGCTTCCGACAGCAAACAAACGTACAGGACGGACCCATTTACGTGGGAATGGACACTCTTTTCCGCGGAACCGAAACGCTGCTTCCTGCGAGATATAAATTCGCTGATTTATCACCGGTGGTAAATGTTTTTTTTAATTTCGCGGAAAACAGGATAACATCGGAGAGGGAGTTGCGTACACGAATTGCATTGGCGATTACGGTGACCGCGAGTCTGTAATTAATATGGCTTTTAATGGTTTGCGATCGATACACCGCGCGTGCACGAATAATGGGACGCGTGACCGTTTTAATGTTAATTAATTTTCAGGTGCATTAGCAAAATTGCAGCCCGCGGCGTAGCGCGGTTGAGTTCTTGCGAACATCAATGTGATTAATAGGAGGCGGACTCGCGATCTATAAGCCCGTTGCGTCGAAAACAGGGGCAAGACACGGGTCACGAGCTGCGGAATCAAACGGGCCGTGTAAATTTTACGGTAATTAAAGTCGATGGGAAGTTAATTGTTTCGTCGTTGCGCGAAAGACGTCCGGTTTTAATAAATAAATCAACACACGGTTTATTAATAATATGCGATGTTTTATTTTGACGTAGGAAGATTCTCTTCTGACATGACAGAACAATCATGTATCTTACAAGTTAGATAGAATTATGTACACTCGCTTGTTATTATTACAAAGTAACTTACGTTCTATGTGCGCACAATAATCATTACGGTTTACATTATCATCTCGCTATCGTTAATATTACTGATACCTTTTAAGTCGTACGTCCTCTAAACCACGATATAATATACATTAGGGTTGTATACATGAAATATACACTCACAGTTAAGTATGCGTCTTTTATGCTGTTATACTTGGTTTTCGTTATTCTGTCTTTCTTTTTTTGCGTTTTATTTTTCTTCTTGTGTTTCGTGCGTAACGCGAAAAGAAACAGGTCGGCTCCTCGGTAAAGAGAAAAGGAGAGAAGACGAGGAGCCTGGAGGATTGAGTTTTAGCGACAACGCATCCACACGAACTCTCGGGGAATATTTCGCAACTGAGATCTCAGTCGCCGACGTGCCGCGTCGGTTACCTGGATCATTTTACCCCCCGTACGCACTCACACGCATACACGCTCGCGTTCTTCGCGCAATTTACTATTTACACAAACTTCCGGCTACTGGCCGTGCTTGATATGGTTGATTATCAATACAATTATTAATCGTAATAATAAAGATCATAATGATAATACTAACAAGCTGACCCAGCGACGTTCGGGTCAATGGTTAATTTTTTTAATTTTACACATGGGTGCTGTATACATTGTATAAGAATGTATTAAGCGCATAGGGCTCGTCACAGAAAATTTCACGAAAGAAATTAGGTTAAAGCGTTTTCATTTCATCCATTTTCAATGCATACCGATATGGAAGAAAATTTTCAAGCAAAAAACTATCGACGAGAATAATATGCATGCTTTCCTGCTATCGTTTACTTCGAAAATTCACTTTTATTAAAGTATGACTAATATTATTTGTTTGATATGGGATTTCATCCGTAGCAGTCGGATAGATTTTCATCGCGTTGCTTCTTGCTGAAAGATTTCCTTTTTTCTCTGCAACAGTATGTATCGATAATGAGTATGTAAAATGGAAAGCTTTAAGCTCAATTTTCTTGCGATATTTTAAGAACAACGTGCTGTATGTGTTTAACAGATTCTTGTGTACTCTGTATACTACTACTTATACGCGGAATTTAAATTAAACCGATGATCCAAACGTCGAGTAGTCTTCTTGCAAGAATAGTTACGGCAGTGATGATGAGTACTCGTCGTTTCGCGTTAAAACTGCAAACATCCTCGACTATACCGGTAAAATCATTGTTGTACGCGGTTTCTCTTGACGCTTTGAAAAATGTACAGATTACCGAAGAAACTTCAGTTGCTTCCCATTCGTTTACTCTTGTGTTCATCACTTTCTGGAAATCAAGAGGTCGACCATCGAAGAACATAAAATGCGCGTTTTCGTCGCGCAGAAAAGGAAAAGGAACGGTAAAGTATCGGCGGTTGATTAGCAATCAACGACGAAACTCGAATTCGTCGGATGCGATTCAACCTTTCGTTTCCGTCGATTGTCTCTGGGTTCGATTAAAGCGATATCTGGAAACGAAGTAACTCGCGACGGTGGTCGTCTTGCGATCGATCGCGACGCGTCCTGGTTATTTCCTACTCTCTTCAATTTGCCTAACGATCGACAGTTTCTTTGAATTTTGAAGATTTGAAATGTGCCGCGAATAAAATCTCGAGTATAATTCTGGTGGATACAGAGCCGAGACGTTTGATTGTTTGAACGCTACGCGCTGGAAAAAAAACGGATATACGATAAACGATTGTTGCGCGTCAATTCTAAAAAAAAAAATGCTTGAACTCGAAGAATAAGGTATATCTCCATTCGGTGTTCGAACATAAAATTGGAAAAACGGAACCTAACCCGAGCCGTGAACCGAGTCAATCATTTGTCGGTGAATGACTCGTCGAACAATGGTCGTCCAACGTGGTACGTTTCTTACCACCGATTGAAAGTCCTTGCTAAAAATAATCTATTCGTATTTACGTATTTTCCAGTGATCGTGGATCACAATCGTGCCACGCCTAGCGTACCGCTCTGTCGGTGTTCGTGATCTTTCACGCGACCAAAACGAAAACAGCGAAGAACGTGTCGTAAATTATGGTAAGATCAGCTTTCTCAGTCTCGTCATTATTTACACACGTTTTCGTTCTCTCGCGGGTCGCGTCGTCGACGTGAAACCGTTTCCAACTCAAAGCTTTTCGACGGGCACTCTGTAAACGAAGATGACAGAATCGACGTCGATCTTCATCGACATTTACATTGACCATCGAAAATTCAAATCGCGAACGTTTCACAATCATCCTACATTCCAAAATGATGCTAGTGTACTCGCGAATGGGAGAAAGAGAGGGACAGTTTGACGTTAAAGACGAAGCAAATAACCGATTGCGATTGATTTATTACGTTCGAGTCGTCGTGAGTTTGCGCAATTCGAAGTTCACGCTCGCGACGACGGCTGCTCGGACCGCAGCGCGATTCGCACGCGCTGGGAGGTGGGGTACCGAGAACGATGCGCCGATCCGAACCGTCGAACTTCGTTGCTGGTCAACCGGGGATCGATTCGACCGAAGAAAATGACCGTGTTCACCTATATATTATCAATTATCGTCGGAATCGATGTTACCGTTGATCTCGAGACAACTCGCCGCGGAGTTCAGACGCCAGTGATAAGCCGCGGAGGATCCGGCCGCGGCTGCTGCGGCGGCGGCGGCAACGGTGGCGGCGTCTTGGCCGCGATGAAATAAACCGGTGGACGACCTGTTGGACCGCTATACCATCGTCTGGTACTTTTGGTCGGGAAGTATATAACCGTCGGAGTCGGTGGGCGAGGCTGCCATGTCGTTCGTGCCCGTTGGGTTCTGATGATGCAGGGTCAAATGGGACACCGAGGACGTGAGCGTCATATTGTGATGGTACTGAGGATGGTGGTAATTTCCTTGGGGGCTGTGATGCATATGCGAGATCTGGGTCTGATAATAATCGCCGCTGGTGTACGGATTCTGGTAGGCGTTGTAAGTCTGCCCGGCGTAACATTGGTTCGGGTTCACCGAGCCGGGCGACGCTGAACTCCAAGTGAAACCATACTCGCCGTGATGAATCTGGTTCATGGGAGGTGGATAAGACGACGGTGGTAACTGGCTGGAACCGGGGGTCAACGGCGGCGACGGTGTTGTAAGGGCGCTGTTCGCGCCGCTGCCACCGGTTGGAGTCACGCCGAGACGAGGATACGTCGACGTCGTCGAGAGGAGAGGCGAGTTCGGGCCCGGTGCCTCTTTGCCGCGCGGCGGGGAGACTGGAGATGAACGCCTGCTGGGCGTCGCCGACGTGCTCGTCGACATTTTGTTTGCGTTGTTGCTGTTGCTTTGCGCCTGATTCGATCTCGGTGAACCCTTCGCCGGGGAGGTCTGTTGCTGTTGTTGCTGTTGTTGCTGCTGCTGTTGCTGTTGCTGTCTGCACTTTGCCCGACGGTTTTTGAACCATACCTGCGGAAACGAGAATGAAAACATACGAGGGTTAAAGGAGGATTCTTACGGATGACAATACATCGAATAGCAAAGTTTTAATTGGAAATCATTCGAACGCGAACGAATGTCCTTCGGTGTTCGTAGCACCGAAGCACGAAACGATGCCGAAATCTTTCCGTGGGGTATGTCCGTCGGTTTCGTAGAAACCATTGCCCGAGGGAGTATCGAGAAGAAAAGCCGTCCCGTCACGCGGGGCCAGAACCGTACCCGATGGGGAGTTAATCGGTGCAATGGGAAAGTAATCGCGGGCGGACAGCCGTAACATTTCATTAAATCGCAACAATAACAAGAAGCCGAAAGAGGGGGCGGGAAAAAGCTGGGGGTTCCGTGCACGTACACGAATTCAGAATCTGGTTTTGTGCGTGTATCGGTGTATCCCTCGGGATTCGCGGTAACGGTATAACGTCGGCACGCATGCGCGAATCAAAGCCCGTACACGACGGGCGTTAGGGTTGTTTTCACCCTGCTGACGGAGATCGAATGGTTCTGCCCCGCGAATACGCGTACAATGGCCATAGGTGTATCGACCTTCGCGCGTTACCTACGGGACTCTGGCTCTGCTACCGGTGTAACGCATGGACGTAGGTAACGGCGCGATCGTAACAACGAATACAAGGAGGAATCGCGTAAGTGAAATCGAAAAATATCTCTCTCGTTCACCCCGCGCGAACAAGGGGAGCGAAGAAGGACAAAAAGTAACCCCCCCCCGACGATCCGCAAGCTCGCGCGCACAGACCCCCTTTCACTCCCCCTCACGCACCCTCTGTAATCCCGGCACACAATGTGGCCAGGGGTGCGATCCTATGAATCTATGCCTGTGCCTTTAAAAGCGGGACCCGCCGTCATTGTTGTTATTATCGGCGGCATTGTAACAGTTGTTGCGAGGAGCGCGATTCGTCCAAGCGAACACGGGATTTCCAGCCGCTATAGATTCCGTGTTAGTTGGTCGAGTTGAGAACACGAAGAAAGGAAGGCTCGAAACGAGAAAAACCCTTTTGGAAAAACCGAATCGCGGGGACAATCGTTTCGCCCGGCTCTGGGGCATTGAAGAAACGGTTAAAGGTAGCCTCGAAAGAAATTAGAAATTCGAACGACAGGCTAATTCGTAAAGGAGCCGCGTGATGACGACGATGGAAACTGTTTGTTCCGTTCCTTATCGACGGAGACGACGGGCGGATCGTCGGTTCCGCAAACACATCCCTGAAAATAGGGTGCGAAAATCCGACGCGGGTGAAACGCGGATATTGCGTATCAACCGCAAGAGAAATGATCTCGAAGAGGGGTTGAGGAGGGGGTGGAAAGTCTACGAACGCGATGGAAGTTGAACGAGAGAGATAGAGAAAACGCCCATTACCGCGGTGTGTTTGCACAACGACACCCTTCGTTCGGAACAACACACAACCGGAGTTCGCAGCTACCCCAAAAACCAACTGAACGGGCCCGCGCGGTGCCACCCGGAAGCCCCCGGGGCGACCACAGCCAGTTTTACCCGTGTGTATCGATGGCTAGGTGTAAATTGCATCACCATCTGGATGGCATCCGACTCGGAAAACCAACCCATCCGCCACGGGGTGGAGCAGCTGCGTTGACGTTTCGTTATGACAAATATATTTTCTTATTTATACTATTAATACGACCTCGCGGAGTCCTGGCCTTCGTACACGTTCGTTCGAACGTTCGTCGAAAGACAGAGAAAAGCCTACCCGATACACGTATGTATGTATGTACAAATATGGATCTCGACTGGAGAATACAAAACGATCGGCCGTGGAGCGGAACAGATTGCAACGACGATGGTTACCGTGCACGCTCCGTCCTGGATCCGGATGCGTATAGACTGTGCGATCATCGAGATTATCGTCGAGTGGAATTTAATACTAATAAATCTGTCCTCGGATAGCACTTCATGGCTTTACTCGTTCAATGTCGCCGCCTCCCGAGGCACAGTCAGCCTTTCGATCGTTTTTTCTTTTCTTTTTCTCTTTTTTTTTCTCTTTTTTTTTTCACCGGGGAAATAACGTTCCGACGCGTTCGTCGATCGTAAATGACGGACGAACGACCTGGCGCATTCAAACGTAGCAAACATCGCGCGCAGCTGTGTCGTTCTCTCGCAGAAAATGCGCGTATAGAAACTCGCGAGCGAGATAGAGCGAAGGGCTATAATCCAGGAACAAATCAACTATATGTTGTGCTCCATACATCGTGCTCCTCTGTCCGCTACCTAGACTCATACACTTCTGTGTCCCGCGTCGAGCTCTCTCTCTCTCTCTCTCTCTTTCTCTCTGTTTCCCTCTCCTCTCCTTCTCCCACGGAAACTTTTAGATCCACGGATCACCATCCTCTCCTACCCACCTCTCACCTTACCCCCCTGCCCCCTCTACATTATTCGTTCACGTGGGTACGCCTCTATAATGTGCAGCGTGCACACGTGTGCGCTGCCATGACGTGCGTATGTTACACCCTTTTGCAGTTGCTCCTCCATTCACGAGAGGCTTAACTTTGCGTGGAAACTTTGCTGGGCGGAATTTCCTGGCGGTGTCCCATATTCTCGTGAATGGCGGCCCCTAATGTCAAATATGCTCGCGTGATTTGGTGACCCATGTTTTTTGGGTACCGTTGTGCCCGAGTCGAAACAGACGATCGATACAAAACTGCACCACAAATTTCCGTATATATGTACACATATCGGATGCTAGATATCCTTCGGTGGATCCTTCTAATGGCGTATTATTATTGTGCTTCCCGAGAATACGAAAGTACACACGAGGGATTCGCAAGCTCGAAATTCCCGTCACGATCGTGACTTTGAGACGTCGGGGCACCCCGCCACGAAATAAAGATGTCACGAGGACCGCAATAAAAGCGTCAACGAGCTCGTCGGGCACATCTATCAATGTACAGCCACGGCCGGGACAATGGCGAAACCGGAGGGACGTAGGGCGCGACACCGCGTTGTGTAAATACCTTAAATCTCGTCTATGCTTGCCGAAGCACGAAGCACTCTCCTTCCCTCTTTCTCGCCGGCTCGTTACCATCGGACGAGGAACAATCTCATTCTCGGTGACTTGTTACACAATTGTGAATCCGACCCGCGGCGAATAAAGCCACCGATTTCCCCCGACCGATGCGGTCGCTACCCCCGGAAATTGATTTCAGGCAACGCGGCGTGTTCGAATTTCGAACAAATAAAAAGAATACGAGAAACTAATAGAAAATCAATTTACCTGTACTCTCGACTCGGGCAGGTTTATCTTTAGAGCGACCTCTTCTCGCATGAAGATGTCTGGGTACCTCGTTTTCCCGAAAAGTCCTTCCAGTACGTCCAGTTGAGCTCTGGTGAACGTCGTCCTTTCTCGACGCTGTTTGCGTTGATTCATTCCTGAAACGCAAGAAAGCGGGACGCTAGTTAAATAACCGTCCAAGATCGTAAGAACCGCGTGCATCGAGAATCCGTAACGGTGAACGAGTATGTCAAGGTGTGTATCGGTATTGAATGCGATCGCTCGTGACGGCAGACACGAAAGGTACCTACGTCAGTGCTGGATAGAAAAGATTGATTCCATTCGAACGGATACAGAGTTGTGCAGAACGGTGTGTTCACGAGTTGGTCGACCAAAACGAATAACGACTACTAGAAGCCACGGAATGTTTGACATTCTCGAGGAGACGAGTCTCGTCGGCGAAAAAGGAACATTCGCGACGTGGTTAGTCGTCGAGAGGACGAAGACGAGTCGAGGCAGTTCGACTCTCGAGAAGGGTGAGGCGTCACCACCGCAGATCGGAGGACAGGAAAGGGGGTAGCGCGGAGGGGTGTAAGCGTTGCGAGGTCGCGATAGCGTAATTTTGAACAGTCCCCCCCGCCCCGCTTCGACCCACCCTCCTCTACCTTCCTCGTGCCATCGAGCCTCGCTTGGCTCGTTTCGGGACCCACGTAATCCGCTTATGAGGGGGGTCACAGGGGGGTGGCAGGAGGACGGGGGACAAGCCAGAACGGTGGATCGGGGGAGAGGCGAAGGGTACAACCCGGAATACACGACCATCCAGAGGACCAAAGTCGCGGTTCGTTCCCAGCTGCCTCTGGAAACGATGGTACCCAACACGCCAGCGTACAACGTTCCGACCAATAAAAAGAAGCGCCTGGAAAACTGCGTCTCGCCAGTGTCTCCCGGTTGGAAGCTGGATCGTAAAGTCAAGAAAGGAATGGTGGATACCACCGGTGGCAAGAGGATCGCTCGTTACGCCGCTGTGCCACGCGATAGATCGTACTGACCCTCACGAACCATTTCTAGGAATTATAAAGCCGTAACTAAAGATGGAGACGTTCTCCGCGTCTCCTGTCTCATGAGCTTAACGTAAAGAAACTTTACCTTTGCCATCGACGAACCAAAGACGCAGAAATATCTTTCTTCCGGGTAAACTCTCGCGACCCTTTCCGTCCATGTTTGTTTCAGGCGCGGAGAGTCAATCGAGCCGCGTCTTGGCACGATGACGACGAAAAAGTACCGTCGTCGTGGCGAAAAAAAGAGAAAGCGCCGGTGAGTAGGTTCGGCGGGCAAAGGGAACAACGCGAAAAAGGCGAGGATAGAAGGTGGAGAAGAAGAAAGAGAGAGGAATTAAAAGCAACAGCAGCAGCAGCTTCTAGCGGCGAGAAGTGGTTTATGGCCAGAAGAGAAAGCAAGCGGCAGAGAAGACATTGTACGAAACGCATATATTCTTCTCCCTTTTTCAAGGTTGAAGATAATAATTACGAAGATAACACGTGTCTCCGGCTACACGTCAGAGGGGACCAACGAAACAGGACTGTAAAAAAATAACGAGCTCGCGAATGGAACACGAGGAACGAATGATCAAAGAAACAGAAGCACCGGAGGAGTCGTCGATGAAAAGCAACACCAAGACCGAAACGTCTTGAAAGAGGAGTGGTCCGCGAGGATCGCCGCCGTCCTCGTATCGGTCGTATCTCTTCTCTTGGTCCACGAACTGTTCCCTTAAGCTAAGAACGATACGTAACAACACGCCGAGGCAAAGGATGATGACGATGACGCCGACGATGATGCATACGCGTGATTCGTTGCCTAACGAACTGGTCGAGTGGGCTATCAGCGTGGTACCAAGGTAGATCCTCGAGGCAGATTGCGCCGGGCACAATATGTAAAATTCCATGCCGGTTGGCTACCGTCGCAACGATGGCCACGACACGCCTGCGATCGTTTGAATCTATGATCCGTATCTTCTGTTCCGTTCGCTCCATGGCGGATCCAACGGAGGACTGGGACGAAGGGATGAGGCTTCTGGAGAGAGGAGAGAGGAGAGAAAGAGGGAGAGAGGAATGGACCCAGCGAGAGGATGCTTGATTGTCGAGTGGGCGTTGGCGCTACCGTTAACGACGGCCTTTGCCGGCTATACATCGGCCTCTGTGGAAGCCAGGCCCTTATCCAGCAACGAGACAATGGAATTCCGATTATGGTCTTCCGCCTGCTTCCACGCAACGCCGAGTGGGCGCAAGGAAAAGCCCTTCGTTTGCTCGAATGCTACGCGAGTGGGAATTCGAGACACGAGGCACCTCCGCTGTCCCGAAATTATGGAAAATATAGTTTTTGTCTAGACGCTGCAACGCTGTTCCCCCGACAGGGGTTTTAAAACGTCGACGGGAAGGCAGTCGTAAAAATTAGACGCGAAAGTTTTCAAGCAAGAGGGATCATCGTCAATTCAGATGGACTCGATTCGATAAAAGGCGGCTAGCTAAGCAACCCTAATGGGACGGCAAACACCCGCTGCGTCCTGAAGTATGATTCGATTTATTATCGTCGGCGCGAGACGAAAACCGGGGTTGATATAAGGGTTGCTTTGGCTCATTGGCCCGCAACGAGATCAGACGCGACCCTAATAGCAAATTCGTTTTCTGTTTATTGGATTCTTCCCTACCCTACGCGCGGGGTTTCGTGTTTCGCGCCACCGAGTGGAACGGAATCCGTGGAAGTCAATGGACTGCTAACAAAATTTCACAGTAATTTCTCTCGCCCGGTCAAGTGTCTTCTAATCGTGAAACTTGGCACGCGGAAATGGTCCGTAAACATTCGATGCCCGGTCCATACAGATAAACAGGACTGTTTAGCGTCTCTAATTATTGTTTTCAATGCTCGACGCAGCGCGGAGTTTCTGCAGTTCGGTCGAATGAATTATACGACTGGCGCTTGCTTATCCGCGATACGATCGAATACTACGCCGGCGATGAAATATCACGAGTCCACGGAACGCGAATAAGCTCGCGTCGTTTGTTACGCGGAGGTTGAATACGAATTCCACGATCAGATAATAAATAATGGAGATAACGCGAGAAATCTCTAATTCGGAAAGCTCGGCGAATTAGAAAATGCAAATTAATATCAATTACAGATTGTTCGGTGGGGAGAATCGGATACAGAATCTCGATGTAATTACACGATAAATTGACCGGCTACTCGGCGGCGCGCCATTCATCAAAACGGTTAAGTTGTGGATATCGAATCATAAATTACCGGTCTCGAGCGAATATCGTGAAATTGAAGACGAATCGGGGGAAGCTGGTGCGGCAGACAAACCCGTTCTATGAGGACGCGGTTACTTCGGTATTCATAGAATACGGGATGCGACGGTAGCGAAATTCGAAGGCGACGCGGCACAGCGAGGAGGGCGGGACCGGTTAAAGATCCAGAGAAAGTGAATACGCTCGAGAAGGGAATCGAAAATTAATTAAAAGCTAAAACGCGAATAGGTTTGCTAGACGGTGTGCCAGGACGTGGGGGCGGAGGGTTGGATTATTCAGGGGACCGTGGGATGATAGCACGTGCCACTGCCTTGTTGGAGAGGGAATTCTAAAAGGCCATCAGCTACGAAAACATTTGGTCGACTTTGCGTTTACAGCGTGACCTCTGTGAAATCGCTGCGCAAAGTAGATAACCGCGGCGAAACCGGAGTTTATCCTTCCGCGCGTTCGATGTTACATTTTTGTGGGTGGGAAAGGTGGGTGAAAACAGAGGACCACCGCCGGAAGAAGACAACAGCGGTGAACTTGAGAATGGATACCTACGTGTGCACCTGAGAAGGCCACACCGTGGCCCGACCGAACGGACAGACGAAACGCGTGTGGCCTTCGGACCTATGGTCGTTCTTACACGGTAATCTAGCAGAGACGAGCATAAGTAAGTAACGAAATACCAATACATCCGGGACAAGCGAATAAGAGGATAAGCTTCGTATTACCGTCCTCGTATCCTCTGCGATAGGTCTCGACTACTCCATCTGCATACTACCGAAAACCCAACTTCCTATTTTAATGAAAGGAAATTGTGTCGAAGAAGAAAGTAACCCTCGCGAAAGTCGTTGCGATCGGTAATATAATTAACGGGCAAATTCTACGCGAGACTGTTCGTCCGATATGAACATGGGAATAAATTCAGAAAAACAGAAAGAAACAACAGAAACCGTAGTAGGCAAAAGTATCGATATCGTTGTACGTGATATTTCACTCAGACTCGAGTGTTTATCCTGCAATTAGGTCTGGACCTGTATTTGGATCCCTCCTCCGGGAACGACACCGTCCCACCTACTCAATTTACTCGTGACACGCGACGATCGCGTTGCTAGCCGTTCGTATTGCAACACACCGACCAAGATTTCTCTCCCCGTGTGCTTTCGCGTGTTGCTTGTTTAGCCCGACGTTTTGTGGCCACTTCGTAACGACGATGGGCGCACGTGCTCCCGCCACGTGCCACCCTTAACTCGATGCTTAATTGAGTGATTGGAATTCTATCGTATTGACAAGCTCTCCAAACGAACCGTCGTATTATCTCTCTGCTATAAATCATTAAAATCCACCAAAAAAGCTGTGATTAGAAAAGAAATGACGAAGATATCGGAAGGATAAACGCGATACAAGCGCGACGGCATTAGTTTTCCGATTGCTCCTCGGTTATACGAAACGAAATAAAAAATCAGAGGCGTGGATGTCTATTTACGCGTCGCGATCCCACCGGGAGGCGGAGGAAGTTAAGTGGACGGGCAATTTCTCTGCGACAACAAATAGTAGTCGTCGAATGAGAAAAGGGCGGCAGCATGTGACGCGATTCCCACGTACCCGGTGGCTCCAACAGTGTGTCCCCGAAAGATCGGGGGCAGAAACCTCGGCGCGTTAACGACAACGTTTCGACACCCCAATTTTCGGCACCCTCCCCATCGCCGGCGGCTACATTTTTTTTTTCTCGACAGCGAAGCGCGACCCCCTGTATGATTGCATAATAAAATAAATACGGACATACGACGCCTCCAAGTGTTTCCCAAACGCGAGTGTCATTCGACATGAACTGTCCTTTTCGGCGCACGCGACGAATTCGTTTCTTAAAGCGCCTATCTCGGTCGCTTTGACCATCCATCGAAGTTCCTCGATCATTTTGCTTATTTGTTTTCCTCGAGATACCAAGGTGATGTTTCACGAAACTAATTTCCATTTTAATGTGTAATTTCTCGCGCGAACGACCATCAACTTCTGTGTATAATGCATTTGGCGAACGGAAATGCAAGATTCGCTCGTAGAGACGGATGAAAAATCCAAAGAAAACGGAAATGTACGGTCAACAGGATGCATGAAGGATTGTCGCGAGAATAGCATGACTTGGCGAAGAATGACAAATTCAAGAGATTTTCATTTAAAATATCATGACACGCACTCGATAGATGAACGATAAAAACGGTCCTATCTTGGAGCGTGTCAGTTACCGTGTCTCGCTTTCCTTATTCTCAGTGTCCTCTTGCCGATTTCTTTCATTATTCGACTAAACTTTTCGCGCGAACGCATACGAAGAAGACAGAATCACTCTCGATTCCTCTCTCGTTCCGCGGCTTTTCATGTAGCGGATACGCCTACAACGGATAGGTGGCTGGACGTGGGTACGTAGGTTCCTAACGGACAGATCCGTGTTTCCATGGAAACCCACCTATCTGCGTTGGTTGGACCTATAGTGCCTGCTGCCACCCTGATAAGCGGCTTACTCTCATGGTTCTCTCTGCTCTTCTTCGCTGGGGCATTTCAGCCCCCTCCTCCCACCCCTTCGCCGCGATTCGACTCCCTCTGCGCTCTTTCTCTCCCTCTTTCTGTGCTGCCTCTCCAGGCCTCTTTCAAACCACCGCGAAAAAGACGATACAGAGAGCAGGTACGCCGTACACTGGGGTGCTTCCGGTTTTAACGAGCAAACCTCGGTCATGTATACAGACTCAGGTCGAAATAATAACGCAAACGTAAGGAACCGTGGCGCGGGAATACGCACGCTATTATCGTGCATTTGGAATTTCGTTTCGGTCCATTACGACGAAAGTCAATAATCTCGTATATAGAACCGCATTTCGACCAATATTCAATTTCAAAACGGTGCCGATTTATCGCTCTCGACACGGAAAAATAGAAAATTCTCCCCCTTCTCTCCCGTGGATTGACCACTTGATCGATGTTCCCGTATTAACGCTCCACTACTTTTTTTTTTGCTTCGCACAACGTTTTTCAAACGAAGCCATATTGCGGTACTGTGCAAAACTCCGCACAAAAGAATCTTGAAAATACACGCGGAAATCCACTATTTTTTTACTAGCTTGCGAACAAACAAAAACACTTTACATTTGCTGTTTGGGAATTTATGTAAAGAGTGGCTTTTTCAGTCGATAGATACACTTTTGAGGAAGAGAAACGCTTGCTCGAATTGTATAGTGAAACATCGGATGCGAGGACAAAACGTTTAAAACTTACAACGATAATGTAACGTGAAACATTTCAAGGAACACATTGCGCATAAATCTTAAAGCAGGTGAAAAGATTCACGCTGCGATCACGATTCTACGAGAATCCGATTTTATAATACGGATTGTGTACCGACAGACGTCTGGACTGGATCCATGCAGAATTTACGAAGAATTTATTTGGCTTGGATCGATCCAAATGTATGCGGAATTTTCAAGTGGAAAATTATACCGATGCTTTAAAGGCAGCGCCGAAGAGAAATGCATTCGAACGTCTGCCACAGAATGATACAAGCTGACTATAGTTAAGAAGCCCCGAGTTTACTTCGGCCTCGTATGGCTTCAGTCGATGCATCGATTTGCATGACAATCAATAATAGCTACCATGGCGGACAAAGCAAATACTTTTACTGCGAGATAACGTGCAGCGCAATTCGTGAAATGCAAGGAACATGCATCACTCCACCGAACGATAAGGTCGAGAGTTTAAACGTGGAATAAACGACATGTAATGTTCACGACTGGTAAATAAATCACTCAAATGCACTTTTTATCTCCTTAATCTCTCGTTCGTAATTGATCACACATATCCTATTAAATTTCAAAGAACCAAATGGAAAATCAATCTAAAATGAATCTAAATATTAAAAAGTGTTTTTTAACAACGACGAAAAAACCTTATTTCGTCTATAATCAGGTTGTCAGAAATAGAATCTTCCATATTTTTAACCGTAGGCTAATTTTTTTAACAAGTTCAAATATTACCACGATCGCACGGATGTTTGTTTCATCGAAGAACAAAAAGTGTATATGCACAACAAAAGAAGAAGATAACATAGTCGCGATTTTTACATGAAAGTTCCGAGTCCAAACAACTACCGCCACCTCACGCTTTTGCCTCAATACTTTTACCCGCTCGAGACTGTCAACACCCCTTGCACGTATTATCCGCGGCAACCCGCAAAGTATTCGCGCGATTCGCGTTATCTTTAAACGTACACCATCCCGACAATTTCCAATAATAATTGCAAAATAAATGAAGACAAACCTTGTGGAAAGGCTCCGAGTCCATGGTCCAGCGGATGAGGATGCGGATGACCGTGTGTTGCGAGGGCGAACGGTGAAGGTAGTCCAGGATGAGGTCCACCTGGATGTGGGTGAGAGTGCGGATGTGGATGAGTTCCAACCCCCATTGCCGGATGACTGTGTGGGTGGTACTGAGGACTTCCGGTCGGGGTGCAAGTGGCACCCGCCGCCTTCAAGTACCCCGCCATGTAACCCGCGAGGCAAGCCAGCTCACCCGCCACCGCTGCGCCCTTATCACGCTCACTTATCTCCTGACCTCCGCCCTCCTCCGACGCCCACCAGCTGCTCTCCTCCCGATGATTGTTCTGGCTCAATTGTGAGAACGGCTTCGTATTGGTTCCCGACAGTTTCGACGCCGTCACTTCCGGTACCGACACGTTGCCGTTCCGTGTAGAACCGTAACCTTCGTATTCCTCCACCTGCAACAATAAACCCAACGACATGCTTAATATCACCGTCTTCCTCCATCGTTTTCATTAGATTTACAGGTTAAAAGGATCGACCGTTCGCCAGGGCGAAGATTTCTGTATGTCTCGTGACAACAGGGTGCCATCAGTTGGAATATATTTCTCGGTTATTTTGGAAATGTATCGCACAAGGTGCAAGAACGTGAGATACGGACGGTAACGCTTCTCGTTGTTGTGCCTCGGGTACAATGAAGAAATTAGCATTCTTTTGGCGACCGGGAGACTCTGTCACAATGAACGTCAACGCGAAAGAAGCCGCCCCTATTGTTGGCGAACGACTATTTTCCAATGGGACTCGCGGGCTTGCCCCCTTTCCCATCCCTGACAATCCGTGAAACCTTCAACGCGAAAAGTACCTTCGATCGAACGAATTTCCATTTCTTAAAGATCCACGGACACCGACCGGAAAATGGTCTGTGTACGAATGCTTGACAGGAAGTACCGTCTTGACTCTATTAAACCTGTCACTTTCGATTCAGGTATCTCCTGAACTATACTAATTTCTATCAACGGATAACTCTACCGGTTGTACGAATAGTTTGTTGTCAACGTGTTAAGCACTGAATGAACTACGGTACCACTTACCAAATTGTACTGTACGCCAGGATATCCAGAGTAGTCTGACATTCACTCGCATATATCCAAAACAAATCTTATAAGTGTCCCAATTGATCCACGTATATCACAACACGTAATCCTAAGTATCACAGATATTCCAAGTCTTTGGTATCGTTGTCAGTTTGGAACAGATTGCACCAAAAAAGTGTTTAACTCGATGCACTACCCTCCGTACGCGTTCCGCTACTAACACACGTTGCGAGAAACGTTCCGTTCATGCCACGCGGTACTACTTCGTGCCTCGTGGAGGGCTGCGGTCAAACTGTGTCCTACCCCCACCGTGACATCCCTAAATAGTTTTCCAGGCCCTGCCTCAGTCCCTTCCCAAAAATGGGGGTGGGGATTTCAGAGTGGGCCTTCCAGGGGTAGGGGTATTCGTATGAATGGCCACCCATGGGGGCGCTTTTCAGAACCAAGAAAGCCTCGAACGGAGGTCTCGAAAAACCTGCGAATACGAAGTAACGAGTTTCAGTTTTTGATCCACCCACAGGAATCGATTTCTCTTATGCAAATCATTTTACCTTATTCTACCTTCCTCGTTTTCCAAACGGTACCCGTACCGTAAGATGCGTATGCTTCAAATCTTATGTAATGCTTCGATAAAATATTGGTCGATATCCAATGCTGATAATCTTGGAACCGTGCGCATACCATAGATTCGAAGTAGGCTAACGATAAGACAAATTTCACACAATTTAATACGTGGGAAGGGTACGCACGAGCTCGAAATCGAGTGGCGGCGCGTGCTAAACCGGAAGAAAACGAAGAGAACTGGGGACCATGCTAAAAAGGCGGCTTATCCGAAAAACTTAACTTCCCGTCAGACGCTAAACGGCTAAATAAACTTCCAAGTTTGTATCCGGTCGACGGACCATAGACGGAGAAAAAGAGAGAGAGGGAGAGAGAGAGAGAGAGAGAAATACGATGCGTCAGAGAAAGATGGAACGAAGAGAGGAGAGAAGAGGAGGACGATGCACGTTGGTAGGTATGTTTACACGGGGGCATTATGGCGGATAATGTTTGTTATAGGCGTCTATGCTCTACGGCCAGGAGAGGCGAGACTATCCGACGTTAAAAGGCCAGCCCGGTCGATCCGCTTACGGCGGATGAGGCTCAAATTGAGTGAGAGATAGTGAACTCTCGTGCAACGAGTTGCACAGCCATCGCACATGTCCCGATCCACGTAGCATGCGTACTTGTGCACACATACCTTGCAAATCTAGGCGACATCTCGTGACAATTCCGCTGACAGCCAAAGCAAAATGTGTAGGTATCTACGTATGTATTTTCTTCGTGGGCATCACGAAACGAACGCGCAATGTTTTTGTATGTGATCCCCCCGTCTAGATTTAAATTGATATACGACACGAATATGTGCTTTGTTGTATGAAAAGAATCTTGATTCTTAAAAAACCCGAAAGCTTTTTCGTAAATATTTGCGCCACGCTTATTACGCGCATTAAGATTAAGCTGTGACAATGAACGCGTTGTTTTGCGAAGCAGTAATCATTTCGGATCGACCAGCGGAACGTCCGTGAACGATTTAAGTCTTTTTACGATCACCTTTGCGTCGAAATGGTTAAACAATGGTCCTTCCACCGAGGCTACTTAAAAACTGCCCTCCGAAAAACGTATGTCTTGCAATAAAATTTTTAAACGCGTCGTCGAGGCAACTGTCGCCAGCGCCCACCCAGACACCCCCACCGTTCCCTACCTGTGCCCACAAGCATACGCTGCCCCAATCAAGGAATTAATGACACTTTACGTAGACCCTTTCTTCGACACCTTTTGTTCTTTTGAACTTGGACAGCACGACACTGTTGCGATTTGTACGGGACCGCGGTCACTGTCCCAGGAGTACCTCGCTTTGGAAAAACCCTTAAACGGTTGCCCATTCAACCGTGCTTTGTCTGTTAACGCCCTTCTGGGTATTAACTAACCACGGTAAACATTACAGGGTGTCGGTGACCGGTCTTTAAGAATTCGCACTGCTAATACCTTGTATACCTGAGGATCTGCGATCTGTCAGCATCTCTGGCACACGATTCAGACCTTCTTCAAAGTTTCCCTTTCTCCGAAAAGATTTGCTCATAAATTTGTCGTTGTTAATGGATATACGATTTATCGCGACGGTAGTACACGGAAACACGAGAAAATTTACTTACGAACTGTAAGAAGGATTAACAAATTTTCCATTTTCCTAGGAATTCAACTACAGAACAAATAATTACAATTTAATGGTAGACATACGCTCGTTATTGATTCAAATAGCTGCAAATTGGCGCACAGTACAGGCATCTAATGCACTAATCAATTGAGCATTGAAAATATCTTTGTAACGGCAGATCAGAACTTCCGGTAGAAAAAGAAAAGAACGAAATGCAGTCGAATAAAGTTAATAGTTACTAACAATTCCGGAATAAATAGTCGTTGTAAATAATTTGCTAACATTTTCGGAAGTTTTGTGACAAAATTTAATATACTTTAAGATACGAAATCATTTTTTCGTATAATTGCTTGAACTATGCAGTACATTGGCATCACTGGCGCTAACGGTCAGTCTTACCGGATTCAGGTGCCTCGTCGGTCTCATAAATTTTCGCTAACGTAACTGGTACCATTTCTCAACAATATTTGTGCATCCGATACTCATCTTGTTATCTGGAGAGAGCCTGAATGTTGGGGAGTGCTGTGAGTGTATTATTTTTATAGTTTACTCAATATATCCGCGTTTAACAAAAGAAATCCGAAAGTGTCGAGTGGGTGCGTCCGTTATTCAGCATCCTAATCGAACTCTTTTGTCTGTTCGGGATTGAGATTGATTGCCGTAATAAACCTTCACTTGTAAATCTTGCGCTACTTTTGTCCGTAGCGAACTACAAAACCTGTAATTAATGAGACATAAATTCATACCAAATACATACGATAAATTCTTAGCTGAAAGCTAACGGTCGTCAGATGATGACGTATAAAGAGTGGGAGGGGTGGGGTTGCGTCGCTTCAAATCTTGGAGTACAGTGAACGCGCAAGAAAAAAGATGGCGACGCAGCAACGTAACGTACTTGACTTCGGTGCCTGTCGCGTTCGTTTCGTAAAAGTTGTGAAATTAACATCTCGTTATTTGATATTGTGAGTGAATGTGCAATGTGTCCATGGATTACCTGATGATTCTACCGGTGAATGCCGCTGCGGGCTTGCAAAGGTGAATAATTATGGATCTATACTAATCATCACGAGTCTTAATCTTCAATATATCAACGCTACTGGTCTACGGTACAAGGTAGAGAAACAAATACATTTATTACTTATAAGGCATAATGACAACCTACGGTGAAGAAGGCGCACATAATACATAAGCACTTCGAAACACTTGTGATAAATGCATCGTCGTCTGTTTGTTTCGATGTGATAAAAACAGGACCTTTCGGAATAATGACCGCAGAATCCGTAGGATGTCACTACGCATCATAACTCTTATTACGTGTTACGTCTGACGAATCATAACACCCATTATTGCGTTACGTCTGTTTACATTAGAGGTTGATTTATCCAATTCGACTTATTTCGTACGGTAACAAGTCTTCAACTTTGTAATGCACATAATGATACCTATTATAACTTCTATCGCACTGACTGAAAATAGTAAACTCGAAAAATAGAACTATTTTTCTGTACAGTGCCTACCTATACACAATGTTCGGTGCAACAAACTCTATTTTATTAAACCTACATACTATATCCATGTATACATACGTAAAGTTTAAGACATTTAATTAATGCATACTAACTAATCGAATCTTGAGAAATTTGTTGTCTTCGCGTTTATCCTTGGATCGATTGCCGACGTTGATCGCGCTCCTGACTCGAAATTTACTTCCTTGCGAGTGAACGAGTGTCGTAGTATTACATAGAAGAGGGAGAAGTACGGCCTGAGACGTGACTCGCGAGACAAAGATGGTTAGCGTAGACAAGTTTGCGCAAGCCTGGGCAAATGAGAGAAAGAAGAAGGATCGACTGGGTAAAAAATCGATATAAAGGTGAAAAGAGGAAAACAGGGTGGAGTGGCTTGCACGCTGAGCGAAGAAGCGAGAAGAACGGAAGAGAAAGAGAGAAAGAGAGAGGCGTGTATCGAGTTTGCGCGTTTTATTCCTCCTCCTGTGTTCAGGCTCCGCCCTGATGTTTTCCCTCCTCCAGCTTCCCCATTCGCCCTTCGATCCCTCCTGGACCAGAAGGGACTGTACCTTCTTCGACGTATAGTATCGAAACTTTTTCGTCCCTCGATGACGTCTACGTCGTCTCGTGAAACCAATCCAGTTCCGATTTAATAAACTCGC